CAAATATTACTCACAGTTAAACATGTCCTTTAGTGTTTCTCTACCCATGTCATTTGTCCCTCTCAGACAAACACCTACCAGTGCATCCTGACCACGGACGGGTCTCGATCATTTGCTCTCCTGAGATATGAGGAGATGAACTGGGGTCCAGGCCAGAGGCAGTTCCACGACGCGGTGATTGGCTACACTAACGGAGAACGCTCCTTCATAGAGCCCACCAACCCACCTGAAAACCTCTTTGGACCTGGGGGCAGATACAGGCCACATGAAGTGATTGGCCCCCTGGGTCAGCCGGGTCAGCTGGTGTATGACTTTTCCAAACCAACAACAGACAAACCAACAACAGGCGTACCATCGGATAAACCGGCAGCAGACGAACCAGGGGAAAGCCCCCAGATCAGCTGCCAGGCCTGGGCTGTGAATGAGCCTGACCCAACGGAGTGGACCAAGGACCTGTTCTCATGTCCCTGCACCCGGGGCCAGGCCCTGCAGGACCTGACCTTCCTGCAGGACACCAGTGATCCCAGCCCTACCTTGAAGAAGTTAAGAAGTCAGCGGTGGGGGGGTTCCTCAGGACACATCTTTCAGTCGGTTCTGTCCAACAGATTTGGTTCAGGAAAACTCTGCGTGTACGACCCCGAGGGTCCGTTACTGGCTGGGTACAACGAGCGCTACTTCTTTGGACACAGCCAAGAGAAACACATTGGTTTGTGATTCTACAGGAATTCAAACATGATATTTGGGTTGTTCACACATGGAAACACAAGAAAACACCATTGTAAAGTGATAATGATGATAATGATTTCAGTTATAATAACCAACGTGCTTCCATAGTTGTCCAACTCAGATGCTTCTGCTGAAAGACCTCCACCAGTCACAGTGAAGTGATAATGAAACCCCACCTCTCACCATCTCCAGATGGAGATCTCCTACCGTTCCAGTGGTGTTGTACTGACTCCCCCCTCTGTCACCTCTACCTGAAGAAGAGACCATTGGACCGATGTCAGGGCTACAGCTGGGACAGAGCTGATGGTCACACTACAAAGGGTGCTAAGACGACCCAGGGTGTAGGTGAGAAACGACCTGTGTACGGGTGACGTAGACATACGTCCAACAGTCTCTGAATGAAGGTTTTATCACTGGTCCTGATGCAGTGACTGGTGTTACCCTCAGGATTCTGATTATCCACCTCCAGAGTGTCCTGTGTTGACAGTGATTGTGTACGAACCAGTTTGTGGTTTTTGTCCTGCAGCCATGGTGTTTGGCAGCCTCCACTTCCACACCTTTGATGGTACCGAGTACACCTTCAAGGCTCTGGGAGAGTTTGTTCTTCTGCGTCTCTCCACCGTCACTGGCTCCAACGTCTTCACCCTGCAAGGACAGACTGACCGGCTGCACGTAGGCACGGGGGGGCCCATGGAAGTCCCCGTGGTGGTCCGCCTGGCTGCCTTCCACCAGGGCATCGGCAAGGTCAATCTAAACACTATGAAGACTCTAAAACCACAGACGGAACCAGGTTCTGGTCCGGTTCTGCAGCTAACTGTACTGTTGACATTACTGTGTATAAATTGCAGATTGAGTTGAGAAGTGCACAGAACAATGAAGGACTCCAGATGTTTGTGGACGATGTTGAGGTTCCAGTCACAACTGGTAATTATCCCTGACTCATTCACTAACGGCTTCAGTTAATTTTCACTCCGTCTGTCGTTTCATGACATGTTCAAACACTTGTACACAGTACATAGATACTACAGTATGTCAGTACCTGGGCTCTGGTGTTACAGGTACAAATATACATGTAGTAGATGAATATTCTACTGTGTACTCCAGAGTGATGATGACTATGACATCACCTCTGACTGCTGTTCAGTCTGTTGCTTGTTGTTGACACTCCTCTGATCACTGTTCTTCCAGAAGTCCTGCGTCAGCCCAACAAGGACTTTGCTGTTCGCTGCGTGTCAGTGAAGCGCTGTGTGGTGGTCTACGCCGGGGGTCTGAATGTTTTAGCATGGAGGGTGGATGGCTCTAACCAGCTGGGGGCGATAGTGGGTGTCCCCCAAACCTTCTACAACCGCACCGTGGGTCTGATGGGTCACTGGAGCTCCAACCACTCAAATGACTTCCTCATGTCTGACGGCGTCATCCTGCCGTCAGCTGACACGCCGCCGCCTGAGGAGGAGATCCAGTTGTTTGGTCTGTCCTGTGAGTGGAACATCAACACAGACATGCCGTGTTTGACCACCTGGTGTCAGTGTTGGTCAGCGTTAAGATTTGCATTCCGTGTTTATAATATTAAC